ATTCTCTGCCTGGAGACCTGGTAGAACTGGGTACAAACTAAAGAAATCATGAACCCATTATCTAACTAAAATTGTCAGCTGGTCCAAGAAATGCTCCCTCCTTCCCGGTTCATACTCTGATTTTGTTAGGTCTGGAATGAAGAGTTTTGCAATCTGTCTTAGACATTTTTGCACTTGTAAAAGGCAATTAAAAAACAAAAAATCAAACTTATCAAAATACCTGCAGGATTTAAGCAATAACCAGTGGATGCACAGATATCTTTCCACTGAATTCAGTAGTTTTGGAAACTTCAGAGAATTACAGGGTAATGAGAAAAAAAAGGTCTGAATTATGAAAACTCATTGTTTCAATAGTTTCTTATGCTGCAAATTTCACATCAGGTCAAATTTATTTATTTACTATTCAGCACCTCATTGGTAGCAGAGAAGTCTGCAAGAGATCTGCCAAGGTGGAGGAACTGGGAAGACCAAAGCTGCCAACATTTGAAAAATAAACACTACCATAGATTTTATTATTTCTTTTTAATTGAAGAAGAGGAAAAAAATGTAAGCCTCAAGTAGGCTGAAAAAAGTCTATTCTGACAAGTAGCCACACAAGTACAAATCACTGATTTTCTTTTTCTTCTTACTTCAGAACATTTTAGAGATAAAAGTTTTGCACCATGGTTATGCTGATCCAAATAATTTGAAGTTTAATCAAATTAAATTTTTGGGGATGACCTCAAATGTTCGGGAGGTGACAGTATTGCAGAATGGTGAAGTAATCCAATCTCCTCATGTTGTGTCCTATGACAGCCAAAAACAGGTAAATCGAGAGTTTATGGGGAAATCCTATCTTTGCAACTAGTTATATGCTCTTAAACACTTGGGGATTCACCTCTTTACTGTAATATAATTTCTAAGATATATTTAGTCACTGCAGTGAAATCACTGACATCTAAGAAGTAAGAACTCAGGGTAGTTTTGTAACAATTTTTTTTTTTCCTACAGAATTAATGAAGTCTCACCACAAGTCGTAGTTGCACTGTTCAGTGAGACGTAAAAGCTAAAATCAGTTGATGTTTAATTTAATTTATCACCCTTTCTACAGAACTCGGTGTTCTGTTGATTCTTATTTCTTTCTGCCTTTCAGCAGAAATGTATTAATACGTTATTGTATTAATATATTGAGATGATATTGTAAATTTAATATAGAAGGAATATATAATAGAAATATATTATGTAAAGTCTATAATAGCATAACATAATATAAAGTAACATAATATAACATAACATAATGTAATAAAGTAATGTAATATAATGTAACATAATGTAATAAAGTAATATAACATAATGTAATAAAGGTGATATAATATAAGATAATATAATAATATAATAATCAATATAATACAATATAATATAATGAACCAAAAAGATGAATTGAGAAGGTAAAGAGAAGTAATCTGAAATAAGAACATCCTGTCTTCTATGCGCTGCAGAAAACCAAGACACCTTCAGAGCAGAATTATTCATTGCTTTTTGTTTGTTTGTTTTTCAAAGGTCCTGGAAATCACCCACCTTGAACTTGAATTAGGCAAAGACTACACGTTACGATGGAGCTAAAATGCCCACAAGCAACACCGGCTGCAGAGCTGAACTATCTCATCTTCACAAATTGATTTTCCCTTCTTCTGCCTCTTTGACTTCTTAAAATACTTTGCACTATAAATGTGTACAGTCAGTTTGTGTTATCATGTGCAGAAAGCAGTTGTGGTTTAGCGTTGATCCTGGATAACTACACACTGTCACTTTAAAGTGGAGTTTGTTGTTTTTTTGAATGTTTTGGTACTTCAATATGACTTGGTCTTTCAATATGAAAATATGAATGTGAGATGAAGTGATATCCCAACGTTCTGGCTGATGTCCTGCTCACTGCATTTTATAAAAATATTGGTATGAACTGCAAGTATATGGGGCAATAAATCTGCCCACATTTATCTTATATCTTTATTTATGAGTCATAAGTGTGAAGAACTATTTAAGGGTGATAGTGGATTGATTTAAAATTAAAAGATGCTTCGGTGGTTGTTAATCTATAAAATGCTAAGGCACTTGCAAAAATCCTTGGGAGTTTTCTGTATGACCTTGAACAGGCACTTGAGTTCTCCAAAGTTTTGATCTGAAGTTGTGTAAAATTAAAATGAATGTTTCAATCCTAAGTAAAAAAAAAAAAAAAAAAAAAAAAAAAAAAATTGGTCTTGGGTTTTTATTTCATGGAAGGAAATGTTGTAAGCTTACTGGGATAGTGGTTCATGGTGAAGACTTTTTGTATCTAAGTGCGGCATGTGATCTAAACAAATTGATAAAGGACATGGCTGGGAGGGGAGGACATAGGAGCACTCGGCAGCAGGGGAGAGCCTGAGGGCAGGAGAAGGGTCTAGAGCTCAAAGCAGCCCACCAGGACCTTCACTCAGCTCTTTGCCCTGGTACATGGTAGGAGGGTGAGACACACCGTGGGCCACAAAGAGACTTGGCAATGTCCCTCCAAGCCATGAACCTTCTGCTGAGGAGCCGTGGAAGAAGTGACTGAGGAACAGGGTTGTCAGCTGTGTGTTGTGGTGTTGTGGTTATTCTGCCTTTCATAGTACTACATTCACATATGAAAAGAATGAGAAAAAAAAGTTAAAAGAAAAAAAAAACACAAAAAACAAACAAACAAACAAAAAAACCCACACACAACATCAAAAACCTGCTTCCAACTGGGTCACAAGCAGAGTTACTCACAAAGGGTGTTGAAGACCCAGACAACATGTTCAGACAAGAAATGCTGAGCACATTCCTAAACTAGTTTTCTTGGAGATCTCCTCTGGTGTCTACAGTTGTGTCTGCTGGCATTCACAAGGTGCCTGCCCTTTGATTTCTGTAAGGCTCAGCACCCCTTGAGCATGGCTATTTTTAGCTGAGAGACACAACTAACGCTGATGGAGAAGCTGGTGGGGCTGATGGTTGCAAGTCTTCCCTTGTGCCTGTAACAACCCTTGTCTCCATCCATCCTGCTGCCGCCCACAGCTGTGACTGTTGTACCCAGCCCGTTGCTGCTGCTGGCAGCCTGTGTCTGTCTGTCTGTCTGTTAGAGGAGGAGGAGAGGCAAGCAAAGGCAGATCGGATCAGAAGATACAAAGTGAGGGGGGAAAGGCAGCGCCACACCAATGAGCTGAACACATCTAGTTCGGGAAGGAGTGCTTCTGCTCCCAGTGTCACCGAAATCAGGAATGAAAACTCCTTAAGGCCCCATTTAGCATTACTTTAGTCAGCTGGCATTTAGCAGGCATTATTTTAGTTGGCTGGGGACTTGAGGGAATTATTCCACCTAACATGTCTACCATATGTTACATTAGTCAAAGCTCATAACACTCTGTTACATACATATTCATCAAATTTCGTAGAACTCATTATCATATTTACATAGTTATTATGCACACAGTTTAGGTCTCTGGGAGGCTTCCATGGGGGTGGTTGGTTGTCTCTAGCAGTTTTTTGGAGAGGAACCTTTCTTGAACTTTTTCTGCACTTTTGAATTTTTCTTCTTTATATGGTAAATCCTTGGCCTTTTTTTGGTTTATGACTGCACTTTCTTATCTCCTGCCTAGCTTCAGCTAGTTCATTATTTTTCAGAGGGTCTTAATCTTCAAGGACAGGGGTTTCTGATTAGGAGTCTCTCAATTTATGCATGGAGATTCTCCATTTACACATTCCCCAGGAGGTGTTTATCACGCTTGTCTAGCTCAAGGACCTTTCTACGACAGACAATTGTTGCAGGTGTTTGACCGATTGGTTAAGTTCTTATGCTACCCTAAACAACTTTTTTTTTTTTTCCCCCCACCCATTTTCCAACACCAGGATGACCTTGTACTGGGGATTCCTTCAACACCTGGACCACACCTGACACCCCAAAATGCAGAGCATCCTCCCCCCAAACCAAGCCATCTATGTGAGAAGGTGCCAGCTCAGATCACAGATACCTCCTTATCCCTACACCTGATTCTCTGAATGCAAGATGAGAGCTAACACCACATTGACTGCCAAGGTGTAGGACATCTATAGAGACTCCTATGAGCCTTTTCAGCTACCAACAACACACCTGTTGCAAATCAGGTTGGTTTACCAAGAAACTGAACAACAAAGATGACACAAGTGCTTATCCTATGGCCCTGATTAGTTGAAGTGGTATTTGATCTCACAATTACTTGCATCATGTTGTTGCTCAAAAGGTGCCTTGTGGCCTCTTCTCTGTCTCAGTGGAGGAGGAAAGAAGAAAGAAGGAAAGGATTGTTTCTATTTTCCTTTACATTAAACATCCAAACCAGAGTTTTAATTGGATATTTATGTATCTTAAGATGGGTTCTTGAGTCATCTGCAGCTTCCAAATCATCTGGAAGTGCCCCTATACAACTGCTGATGCCATCCATGTTCTGATGCAATGCAAGACAAACTTGTGAAGCCATCTTTGTGCTACCTGTTGGCAGATGTCCCTTCCCAGCCATTTTGCTGGAGGTCACTGAATTATTAGACATCTCTAGTCTTGGCACACTTGGGTTTGTCACAGACATGATGAGAGCTAAGGAAGAAGAGAAGGGTGGTCTGGGAACTGAGAAGAAGAATAAAGGACCTTCCTACCGCTGATCCTCTTTGTCACTTGTCATGAAGGAAGATGCCTAAGGCAAGAGACTGTATTTAATGACCACCTTCTGTTCCACAGCTCAAGGGATGTATGAGGTGGACTATGGTTCATGGGGCAAAGAGACAGCCCAAAGGTGATCTAGAGCATGTGGAGAGGAAAAGATCTCTGAAAACGCAGTGATGACCCCAAGAGACACAATATCCAGGGTGTATCTTCCCCTGAGCTCCCATCTGTGGTTAGTGGCTTCTACTTCATTATGCAGCACTTCCTCTCCCTGCTCCTCTGACAACTCAACTCAAGTCAGACAGATGGAGAGGGCAGGATAGAGCCACCAGGCAGCAAGCTCCTCTCCTGGACAGGACAGCACAGAGCCCTGAGCACCCTCTGGATCGTGGTGCCATGATTGTCAACCACTTCATGATATTTCTCAGTGAGTCTCTCATCCCCCAATTTGCCCTAACTTGCCTTGCCTTGCCTTGCCTTGCCTTGCCTTCCCTTCCCCTCTTTCCTCTTCCCTTCCCTTCTCCCTCCCCCATGTTTATCTCTCCTTTTTTTCCTCTTTTGTTTCTTCCCCTCTTCCTTCTCCATTCTTTTCATTTCTTTCATCTCTAGACCTTCTTCTGCCTTAGATCCCCCTCAAGTTCTCTCTCTTCCTGTCATCAGCTCTTCTTTATCCCTCTCTTCTTTCTGACTTCCAATCCAATCTTCCCTCATGTCTTTTATTATTCTTTCTATAACACTGACTCTCCCCTCCTCTCCCCTCCTCTCCCCTCCTCTCCCCTCCTCTCCCCTCCTCTCCCCTCCTCTCCCCTCCTCTCCCCTCCTCTCCCCTCCTCTCCCCTCCTCTCCCCTCCTCTCCCCTCCTCTCCCCTCCTCTCCCCTCCTCTCCCCTCCTCTCCTCTCAATAATCAAACAGATTAGATTCTCGATAATCAAACAGTAGTACAGGTTTCCTAGAGAGGTGGTCAATGCCCCAAGCCTGGCACTGTTTAAGACACATTTGGACAGTAGCCTTAATAACATGTTTTAACTTTTGGTCAGCCCTGAAGTATTCAGACACTTGAATAGATTGTCATTAAAGGTCCCTTACAATTGAAATCTATTCTATTCTATTCTATTCTATTCTATTCTATTCTATTCTATTCTATTCTATTCTATTCTATTCTATTCCATTCCAATAATACATTTCTTCAGTGGGTTAATGCAGTTAGGTCTGTTCTGTCAGCTGGCTATCAATATTATCAGATGAAGCATTGTTGTCTGAAAACTCAGGGCTGTGGTGGTTCTGGAGAAGTCCCCAACACATGATCTTCTTTGTGACAAATGGTTCTGGCTGTTAAATATCAGTTCCACCATTTTCTTTCCGTTGTAGATTCTTATGAAACCAGATCTGATCAGCTGTTCTGCTTCCTTTTTCGGTGTGGTCTCTAGCTTGAGAATTAGACCAGGACTGGTAAATCCCTGGCAGGGGGTGAAAAAAAGTTATGATATATCTAAGACAGATCGATCTCAGGTCAGAACTGTGCTCCAGGGCTTTAAATGTTCAGGCCTGCCTCCATCCAACCTCTGTTCAGCACTAATTTTTCAGCCACATCAGTGGGGGCTGAAAGAAGAGATATGCATCTGCACTCATCCTCTTATTTTCTGCTGAAAACGAGAATTTGCATTGGGATGACTTGGGACACTCGTGCACCGATGTCCTGTGCAGGGTTTGTGTGATGAGTTACTGCTCCCAGGCCAGGATCCTCGCTTCTGTCTTGCGCCTGGATGGCTGGAGTTACGAAGTTTCCTTCATAACAGCCCATAACGGTGTCATCTTGGATTTATGACTAAAAGCGTGATGATGGCACAACAGAGCTTTGGCTATCGATCACAGTGTTTGCACAGGGTCAGGGCCTTCTGTTTCCCATTCTGCCCTGGGAGGAGAAGCTTGGGGGTGCACAAGAAGTTGGGAGGGGACACAGCCAGAAAATCTCACCCCAAATGACCAAAGAGATTTTTCCAAGCCCTATAACATCATGCTCATCAATAAAAACTGAGGGAAAAGGGGGTTTGGGACAGGCAGCCATTCCTCGGGCTCTGTCTGGACTTCCCTGTACCCATAAGGCAGGTCGTGAGTGATTACTTTTGCATCACTTGGTTAGGTTTGTTCCTCTCTTTCTCTTCCCATTACTTCACTTTCTTTACCTCAACCTGTGATTTTTCTTACTTTTACCCTTCCTACTCTTTATTCCTCTCCTGCTTGGGGCAGGGGGAAGCCCGTGGCTGTGGGGGGCTGGTCTGACGGCCAGGGCCAGCCCACCACAGCTCCGCAGGCCCTCCTCATCTCTAATCTAGGCAACAACCCCCACCTCGTCATTGGCCAGAAACCCCAAAGATGCCTTTCTGCAGCCTGGTGTTTGACGCAAGTAGACCTTGAGCTCCTCCTGTCCTGCACCCTGGCTCAACCCCTCCCTTCTCCCCTGACAGGACCCATGAGATCTCTTGTCCTTCCTAACCCTGTAAGGCCTCCAGCAGCCCCATTTCTTTAAGTTTCAAGATATCATTTCCCAGTGCTGATCTCAATCAATTGCTTGGCAATCACCAAATCGCTTCTAACAGAAGAAATTATCTCATCTAACGCACGTTGCATGTAGCTAAAAGATAAGTTCAGGGACATGCTGAATTTTGGAAATTTTTCTCCCAGGGGCGGCCTCATTGGCACGTGAAAATGTTTTCACAGGTTTTCTCTGTGAGCGGTTTAGACTTTCCATGCTACGGTGGCACAAAAAGTAACCATGACCTGCATGAGTGCATGGTGCTGTGGAGGAGCTGCCCTCTTGACTGATGGCCAGAAGGGGCAGGACGTCATAGGGCAGTTGCTGCCTAAGTGACTTCTTTTCTCTCTTTTTTGCAGCCTCATCTCTCTTGTCATCTCAATGCCCCTCTCTCACAGCTTTCCTCCAGTTGCTACCGTTGGCTCTGTCCTCTGTGGGTAAGTGCAGCTTGACTTCTCAGAAGATGCTCTCCAGCTGAACTGAGCCTCTGACCACGAGGCGAGGTTGAGTTGTGTTTTATAAAATGGAGGGAAAAGGGGTGCCCCATTCCCTTTTCCTCCCTCCATCCTCCAAATCCTTTCTTTCATCCCCAGACCCTCTGCCAGCTCCTACACTCTCCACAGACCCCAGTTATCATTTCTATTATGAAGGGGAACGATTCGCTATCATGTGCTTGGCTGCAACAATGAGGAAAATAGGTGGATTTCGGTTCTTCAACGAAAGCGGGGAGCAAATCTACCTAAGAGCACCTTACTCCTTCCCATCTGCCTGGCTCTACATCACAGCTACAAAAGCCTCTGCTGGGGATTACACGTGCATGTACTTTGTGGAGGACTCTGGCCAAGAAATTCCGTCCAACAGGAGCGTTCCTGTTTCGGTTAAGGTTCACGGTAGGTCGGTCACATCTTTATGGCTTGGGTACCATCAGCCCAGACACTGCCCACCTCCCTTTAGAGCATCATCTTGTCCAATGACCGTATCATTTGGTTGCCAATGTACAGATGAAGTAGCTCTGGCTTCTCACAAGCTCCTTTTGTGCTCCTGGATTTCTCTGGGAAAGCAGGAATAAATTGGCCTAAGAGCGGTGTCACCTCCAAGAGGTCTTACAGCAGTGAGCCTCCCCAGCCTTTCCTTGGGGTTTGGGGTGTGTTACATGCCTTCATAGTTTGGGCGTGTTAAAACACTTATTTTTCTACACATCAGTGAACAGAAAGAAACTGTTTAAGCTGCTTTGATTTCTTATCTCTGATAATGGTGTGTCTTTCTTCCTCTGCCCATGGTTCAAGAAGGACATAGAAAAGAGAGCCATGAGTGACCCCCAGAAGCTGTTCTGTAGTTCCAGGCTCTGTCTTTGCCCCAATAATAGTCTGAAGAATAATTCACTCCTTTGTTAGTCCCTTTGTTGAGGCTGAGCCATGACACTGGGAAAAATAATGGGGTTTGTGTGCAGGCCCTGATGCCATTAGATAGTGGATTGCTTGGGTTATGTGTTGCTTGCTTTTCTCCAGCTGCTCCCATGGCACCAGCTTTATCCCTGGATCCTCAGCAGCAGGTCTATAGACCCGGGAACTACGTCAAGCTACTCTGTTCCATCCCTACATTTCCAGATTATGTTAGAGAAGTGCAGTACTATGCGGATTTTGGATTTGCAGTCTCCATTCCAGTATCGAATGTGAGAAACTACAGCTACGAACTCAGCTTCACAGGAGAGGAGCCTTCTGGGTCTTACAGTTGTGCTTACTTTGTTATTAAGTCTGAACGTCCCATTCGCTCAGAAAGGAGCCGCTGGATCAATGTCAATGTGAAAAGTGAGTTTTCAAACCCTTCTTCATTAAAGCATCAATAACTACTGACACGTGATTAGTTAATTAATTCCCTGTGTCCTTGCTTATGAACTTATGCATGAGTCTCAGCTCCATCCCTTCCTGTTCTATGACCATACATCTCTGCCTCAGTCTGTCTATCTGTCACTAAGTGAGCTCATTGTCATACCTGCCCATCTTCTTATGGATAAAAACAAGGAGACATACTGGAGAAAAAGATCTCAATGAAAGGACTGTCTCATCACCTTGTCTGGCTTTTTTTGGGTGGGGGCTGAAGGTTGCATCACAGTAAAGTCATCACTGATTCCTTCCCAGGCCATAAAATCAGCTGGATTCGGGACATCATTGTTGGGGGTTCGTTCTTTACCATCAATGGCTTCATCTTTTTCTTCTCCCACCGCCTGATGAAGAGAAGAGGTAAATATTTTATTTTCATTAGGCCTCATTAATTCTTACAATCCTAATATTTCATTTTCTTTGTCAGAAAATCACCCTGTTTTGCTGTTATTCCACCATCCTTTCCAAAATGAAAAAAAGGAAACAAACATTTTGTTCAAAGATATTTTGGGAGTTTGTTCTGGGCAGGGAATTTGAACAGCATTTCTCCTCACCCTCGTCTCTCCTTTGATCCCCAAATTTATCTCCTGTAGTGGCTCAAGACTGAAGAAAAACCTTTTCCGATGCTGCTTCTTCCACTCAATTGCAGATCTGGAAGAAGGACTCCAGATGGACTAATGAGAGGAATGAGAACAAGAATCCCCTAAAAGTTTTGCTCTATTAGCTAAGACAGTCTGTTCCTTCGGGCCCTGCTGACTCCTCATTGTCTGCCTCAGAGTCCTCACAAGGCAGAAGTGGTGCATGTTTAATTGGCATTGTTTTGGCTGCTCCTTTCCTCTGTGCAGACCCCTGGGCCTTCCAACCTGTCCCGGTCCACCTGAATAAAGCTGGGCATTGTGTTTTGGTCTTGTGAGTTTAATGGAAAGACTCCTGTTTCCGTGCTCTTTCCTAAAGTGTGTGCTTGTGTTTGTGTGTGCATGCTGCTGCTTCATTTCACTCGTAATCCCACCATATTCCCATTACACCTGGTTCTTATTTGCATCTGAAAGAAGTTGGAGAAGCAATGGAGGCAGACAGAGGAAGAATGAGAAGAAAGAAGGCAGAGAGTCTCTAAAGCAGAACAGGTACTTTGGCGAGTCATCTACTAACAGCCACTGCTCTTATTCTGTCTCCTCACCTGGGGTTGTCTCTGTGTTAAGGCGGTGGCACGCAGAGGGTACAGTGGATACCCAGAGAGCCACCACAGAGTGGGCAGGGAATTGTGGGGGGAAGCTCGGGTGCCTGGGATCTCTGGGACAGCAGTGAAAGGGCATGAGGTGGAGGCGCTGAGAAAATGGGGGAAAATAGGGATTTTACAGGAACTGCAGGAATATGGAGGACCGTGAATCATAGAATTGTAGAATCCCAGCCTGGAAGGGACCTGAAGGATCAGATGGTTCAACTTTTCTTGGCAAAAGCCTGGCTTAAACAAGATGGCTCACCACTGTGTCCAGCTGGATCTTATAAGTGTCCAGTGTTGGGAAATCCACCACTTCCCTGGGGAGATTATTCCAGTGGCTGATTGTTTTCATTGTGAAAAATTTTCCTCTTGTGTCCAGTCAGAATATCCCCAGGAGTAACTTGTACCCGCTAGCCCTTGTCTTTTCCATGTAACTCCTTGTAAAAAAGGCATCTCCAGGTTCTCTGTAGCCACCTTTTAAATACTGGAACATGGTGGTAGGTTCTCCCCTAAGCCTTCTCTTCTCAAGGCTGAACAAATCCTGTTCTCTCAGCCTTACCTTATATGGCAGGCTGCCCAGTGCAGGTATATCAAGGTCTGTGGGAGGACCACATGGGCCTTTGTAAGGATATTGTATTGGTGGGGATGGCTGATGGGGGCACAGTGCCATTAAGGGGTTTGTGAAGAAGGGATATAGCATTCTTGAGGACTGTATGTGTGAGATACGGGAGTTGCGGGGCTATAATATGAGGGGAGATTTAGGTTGGACATGAGGAAGATATTTTTTACGATGAGGGTGGTAAGACACTGGAACAGGTTGCCCAGAGAAGTGGTGGCTGCCCCCTCCTTGGAAACATTCAAGGTCAGGTTGGATGGGGTTTTGAGCAACCTGGTGTAGTGGAAGATTCCCCGCCTGTGGCAGGGGAGTTGGACCTAGATGATCTTTAAATGTCCCTTCCAACCCAAACCATTCCATGATACTATGGTTCTATGATTCTATGACCTTGGAAAATTGAGAGGCTGTGGGGGTGCTGGAATTGTAGGGATGAAATACTGAGGCAATAGAAGTATAAGGTGCACTGTGGGTATACGGTGTCTGTGGGGGTGAGATCAGGGTAGGCTCTGGGATTGCTGGAGGCTGTGGAGATGGGCTATAAGGACTATGAGGATGGGATATGGGATTTGTAGGGGTAGATGGATGGATGAATAGATGTTTGCAGTCTGTGTTGTTCTATGGAATTGTCCTTGACTTGTGGAATGGGAGAAGGGAAATGAGATGGAAGAAAGGAAACAGGCTTCATGCTAGATTAGCAAGTTGGAGTGGGATGTGGGGTGTAGGGTGGCTGTCAAGCTATAATGTGGGAGTGGGGATGGAGTGGACAATGGATTATAGGATAGAAGTAGAATAATGCAGTGAGTCCTCTATGGGGCATTCTTTGGACTATGGGGTGAGAATGGGGCTTTGATGTAGGTGTGGGAGGGAGGCTAAAGGGTGATTACTTGCCGATGGTGTAGAAATGGGCTACATGGTCTGAGTGGGTCTATGGGGTAAGATTTGTGTTATGGTGTTGGCATTATGCTCTGGGGTAGAAGTGAGGCTGCAGGGCTGGAGTGGCACTCTAGGTATGATTTTATGCTATGGAGAAAGAGTGGGCCAAAAACTGGGAAGCTACATGGTGGAAACAGCACTCGGGCATAGGGTTCTGTTTCTGAGGAGACACTGCAGATATGGGTTGGAGGGGGCCACAGGGTGAGAGGGGGCTGTGGCTCACTAGGGAGTGTGTTGGTGGTATTGTGCCAGTGGGAGCGGACCTGTGTGGTCAGCATTGGAAGTTGGGGTGGGTTTAGGGTATGGAGTGGGAGTGGCATGAAGGAATGGCATGATGGGATGGGTATTTGGCCAGGAGCTGGGAGGGGGGCACAGGCATGGGCTTTGGGGTGGGACTACAGGATGAAGTAGGAGTGGGGCACGAGGCTATGGGGTTGCAGTGGACACCATGTCACATAACAGGACCCCATATGGATTGGTGCCATGAGGTAGTCACATGATGTCACAAGAACGTCTGGTAGCAGGTCTCTGGGCTGTCCACAGGGCAGGAGCAGGCTTGCAAGATCAACCATGGAGACTTCACGGCCATGGTGACCTGGGAAGGGAACTAAAAGGGCAACCCCATTGTATGGGCAACCACAGCTCCCCATGGGACTGTGGTATTTGGGTGCCCCTGCTGCACTCAACCACTCTCCAGGAGAGACCCAGATGTCCCAGTTCCCTCTGCTCCGCTCCCCCCACTCTAACCACTCGGGACCCAGGCATGTCATCTCCCCCTGTTCAACCCCACATGCAGGCCTGCCCTCCAGGGGATCCGGGTAACGGGGTACCCCAACCTCCTTCACTGCTCTCTGTCCCCTCATTCCTATGCACCCAGGCACAGCTGTCCAGATGTTCCTGCTCCACCCCACATACCCAAGTACACGCAGACCCCTCTTGCTCGCCAGCCATAGTCTGTCCTCTAATTACCCAGTGCTATCTACAAATTTGGAGTGAGCAGCCTTCCCCTTAACCCCATGGCATGCCAGAGCACTGTTAGGGGGTTGTTTGCAGAATGTGGGCCCTTCTCACATCCCCTACTTTCTTCCACCCTCTCCCAGTGCCCTCCAAACCCTTCCAGTTGCCCTGCATGCCCTTCCATTGCACCCCAGGTCCTCACAAGGACCCTACTTTCCTCAGGTCCCATGTACCCTGCTCTCCTAGGACTCATGTCTTCTGTCATAGGGTCTCTGAATGGGCCTGTGCCTGTCTACTCCATAGGTTGTCCTCCAGTCCCTCTCACTCTGGCAATTACTCAGACCACAGGGTGTGACTTCCCTTCAGCACAACTCAACAGGAAACCCTTAACCGCAGCACAGAGAGGAACCAGGCAAGGGTTAAAGGACCTGAGACAGCACTTGGGGATTTAAGGAGGGGTGGACTGGGTCAGCTTGGGCTCTGCTACTTCTAAAATGAACCATTAGACCCTATTAGGTGTCCCTATCCCTACCTGGGCAATTGTCACTGGAGAAATCAGACCCTTCCCTGTGTTGGTAGCTTGGAAACGTGCCCAACACCTCCCAGTGATCCTGGGGCTCTGGATGCTCTTGGTCTCTACCTCAGGCTGAGTAATCTTCCATCTACCTCCTCTTTTGCTCCACTGTCAAAGTGCCTCTGCAACCTGTTGTGTCCGTGAAAAAAGAAACTTTTTTTTTTTTTTTTTTTTCCCCAGAATTTTCTGGTTATTTGTGCAACAGACATTGAGAATTTCCCCACTTACTCAAGGCTGCAAATGCACAAGCCCTTCCTGTATGAAAACTAGCAGGAAATGTTGTGGTCTGAAACAGAAATAGAAACTGGTGAGCTCATCATTCTATGTTGGATTAAACAAAAACAGCAGCAAGGAGGAGGAAATATGGCTGGGGGGGATGCAGGTTTTCACACTGCATGTGTCCAGGAGCTGGCAGAAGAAGTGCATGGGCCTGGGACCCCCACGGCATGCTAGGATATGTAGTCCCACATCGTGGCAGCCATGCTGGATCCACAGCACTGGTGGGAATGCACAGGACCCCTCGTCCCAGGGGGGAAAGAGGGCAGCAGCTCTGCATCGGCCCTGTCTCCTCCCTGTCAGAGCACTGGTGGGACCTTCCATGGCTTCCGAGGCCCAGAAAGGAGGGAAGGGCCGGGCCTGGCCCTCAGTGGCCATTTCAGTGACCCCGTGGGCAGAGGCACTTGCTCCGTCCAGCCCATCCCTTGCCCTGTGTGGTGGTGGTTCTGGGAAGGGCCTCCTCAGGCACCTGCACGTCCATGCCGATTTCTCCTCAGCACCCAGGGACCACCCGGGTCTTCTGGAGCAAGACCTTTCCCCTCAAATCACCAATCTTTGGACAGAAAGGGAGCGCAGAAAGAGGAAAACCTCCAAAAGGCCCAGGAAGCCACGCCTGTGTCGTCCATCTTGTCTGAGGCTGGTCTCTGTGCCTGGGAAGTGTTTGGGTGATCCCAAGCCTGGCACTCCCCATTCTCTGCACAAGGAGAAAGAAGGAAAAGCCAGAGATGTGGAGGGAAAAAAAATGTCCATACTGAGAGAAGGAAGTCATGGGACAGGGACAGCCAAGTGGCCACAAGACCCTGGGCATGTCCTGAAACCAAGAGATCCCCAAACTGCACATCCAGCAAATCCCATCACCAATGTCCTGGAGGAGGCTGATGGGATTTCCTCGTGCCTAAACTGAGCTAATTTCAGGTTTACTCCTCAGCACTGGGACAATGTTTCACCTCCTGGAAAAGAGGTGTCAGTGACTGCCAGTCATGCAGCTATGCTCCCTGTTTGCTGTCCAGGAATTAAACCAAGTTTCTGTCTTGGTGGCAAACTTACTTTGTGGGTGGGTGTGAAAAGAAACATCTATCCAGGTGGTGCTTTGCCCTTCTAATGTTGAGGCATTCGAGCTTCCACTGAGCACAAACCCGTGTGGCCTGATGGGACCTGCTCTAGGCCCAGAGTTGGGCTGGAGACTCCTCAATGTCCCCCCTGATCTGATTTATCACATGACTTAATGATTTCCCTTGGTAGAAAGACCTGATTTCATAAGCTCAGCTGGACAGGGTGACACTAGAGGCTCCGTGGTGAGACACAGCTCATCCTAACACTGAGCTCCTTGTTCTGGGTAGATCT